ACACCGCCATATGCTATGTCTTTTGTGCATTTGGTGAGTAGTGGAGCAGGCCCTACTGGACGTATTCGTAAGAAAACAAAAACAAAAAAACGAGAGAGCCACGGGCATCTTCATCCTAACCCATAACTGCTGACATGTGGACCTGAACGCGAATCTTCAGCATATATTGGTGGTCGGCTGGCGATAGAACATGCAATTTATGACTTCTGCGAAGCTTCGCGGGGCTGGCCGTTATTAGACGACTACCCCTTCTTGCGAACTGACCCCACTACTGTGTGGGATTTGCACAAGGCAGCGGGAAGGACAGCTCTCATACCCCGCCTAAAACAAAAGTTGGAATGAGCCCTATTTTGTGCCTCGCCATTCGAAACTTTTTGGGGAAGGGCTTACGCAAATCGAATTTTCAGCAGCCCTTACCCAAAAGAAAAGTTCGGGCCGTGGGCGCGGCCGGTTTGTGAACTTGCGCGGTGAGTTTAACATTTTTGCCGAGTTGGGGGCCCTAAGAAATTAGAAAACCCCTACTTTTTTTTTTTTTTTTGGACCTAATTTTTCAAGTGCGCTGCGCTTCGGTTCGTTGTGCGGTGCGCGGCGCGACGTGCGCAAACCGTGCGCAAACCGGCGCACCGACGTGTGCCACAACTATGATAGCACCCCATAATTTTATGGTTATTATTTGCATAATTCTTGCTGTTCCGAATCAAAATAAAAGATTCCTAAGACCGGGGACCGGCGAAGACCGCAATTGAAGGGTCTCGCTCAAAGCCGGACGCACACAACAGGAAGGGATTTGCGTTATTTAATTTATTTTATTTATTGCGATCACATCCAAAATCCTGCGTGACAGCCTGTTGACTTTCTTGGTCGCCTGAAGTGGCCTGACTTAGAAAAAGTGCGACAACGGCCGCTGGGGGTGAACGAGGGGCGCTGCGGTGGCAGCGGGCACACGGCAGCCATAGACGGGCTGCTGGGCGCATGCATGGTGATGGCAAGGGTAGTCTTCCGGTAGGAGGCCCATGCTGAGGAGAGACGGGGAATGATGAGGGGAGGAGTGAGACACATACCTGGTGTATGCTGGCAGTCTGCATTGGCGACGACGTCCCGTACATTGGTCTTCAGTTTCGGAGTGATTCCTGTTGCATGAACGTAAGATAGGCTAGATAGGCTGAGTAGAGTAGGCTGGGCGCTGAGCGCTGTTCAGAATGGGCGACATTGGATACTATGTTGGTGTGGCCAGAGAGCGTCAACCAACATTGGGTTCATTGTATATTGGTCTTATATTTGGATGGTATCTTGGCGCATTGTGCTCTCTGGTTGGTAGAATGACTATCTGGACTACAGTGTGATTTTGCAATTTGGATTTCTGTCTATCGCTCCAGCTCACATATTCCTTGCACCTGATCTCAACAGCATACAGCATTGCAGAGACAGAGATATGACTCTCCAGACTGGAAAATAAAAATAGAAATCTTACAAACTTCTACAACTATGCTCCTGATGAGTGGGATACGAGTTTACAACATACCACTCACCTTCTTCTTTTTTTTTGTTCTTCTTTTTTCTTTTTTTTCTTTTCTAAGTTTTCTTTCTTTTTTTTCTTTTCTAAGTTTTCTTTCTTTTTTTTTGTTCTTCTTTTTTCTTTTTTTCTTTTCTTAGTTTTCTTTCTTTTTTTTTTCTTCCCCCCCCCCTTTTTTTCCCCCACTAACCTTTTCAACGACAGGTACGACAGTTTCAAGGCGTCCTGGGAGGAGCAGCCCCCTTCGTGCGAGCTCTGCGAGTGCCAAGCAACCCCCATGCCAAGCTCCATCACCCTGCAGCATCAACCAATATTAAATATAAGTTTTGAATCACCAGAAATCAGAAGCGGTGAGTTATCTTTTTCAGTCAAAAAAAAAAAAAAAAATTCAGTGCTAATTTCTTCTTCCCATCTGAAGAACAGAAAGGTAGGTGCATCAGAAGAGACGATGCCGGTTGACGCAGGACCACCGCCCCACCCCACCCCCCGCCAGCTCTATCACTCTGCAGCTGCATAGGTCTTCGACGCGGTTTTCCCACTGCACCAGATGACGTCAGTGTTTAATATTCGTTTATGCTTTCTTCCCTTCTTCTCAAGAAACAGTACGCAAGCAAAAGAGCTAAAGGGCCCCTCTTTGTAACTCCCCCCCCCCCCAACCACCCAAACCACCACCACCACCACCACCTATCCCTCTTGACTTCCTGCGTCTCACCTCCGAAGTAGACCCACTCGAAACACCGCGAAATCGATCCTTCAAACACATATAGCATAACTATATATACAATGCTATACATAGACATACGCAACCAGTCTATGTATAGCATTGTATATACTTCAAAGTTCAAACACATATAGCATAAGTGTGCCTGAATGGTAAACGCATGGGACTGTTGATGAACAAATCATGAGTTTGAATCCTGACAGAACCAGATAGACACAACGATGCTAGGGCAATCCCCATTTTCAAAAAAACAAACACGTGCATACTACTGCATAGTACTGCATACCCAACCAAAGGTGGCACGTCTTGGCCCCCCGACGTATCTGGTCCATGCAGGTATGCTGAGACTGTCCAGGACCATCAGACCATCAAGGAGGACAACCTTGCAAGATAGGACTGCAAATGGCACTCCTGCGTGCGAACTGGCAAAGTCGCAAACGAACAGGATCTGCTTGAGTGTCAAAAAAAAAAAAAAAAAAAAAAAAAAAAAAGAAGAAGAAGAAGAAGAAGAAGAAGAAGATGTGCTCGAGTGTCAGTCTTCGCTGGGTATTGCAAGAGGGGATTCCCAGCGATATCACTCTCCAGTTTTTTTCTTAGAGTATTAGACGGCGAGGGAGGAGTTATGGTGTTGCATACCGTATAGGTGCAGACCAGAACAAGAACCGACCTTTCAATACAAGTATAAGATAGCACAGCGGAAGACTTAGATACTAGTGATCCGAACAATCAATGTTGTAATGCAGCCCTGAACATACATCATCATCATCGTTTTCATAGTGTGAATGGGTCTGGCGCTTCACACAGGAAGACAGCGCCAGCCCAGAACATGCACAGACGAGGAGGAAGGGGATAGACGAAGAGGAGGGGGAAGATGGGAATGTCGTCAACACCAAGTCTTCGGCA